TCTCAGTTTCACTCAAGGCACCACGGAGTCTAATTCCCATTGTACACTGCCGGCTTATGTGTAGAGACATGAATAGCTTTGCTATGGAGCTTTCACAGAACAGCATGAGGAGCCCTGTTGTATTTGGGGTTTTCACTCCCTTTCCAAGAAATCAGTGGAAAGGATTTTCTTACAGGGTGGATCTATACCAGGAGGGCCTGTATCACAGGCCAATAACTCTGGTGACCACCATCAGGAGAAACAGGGAGTTTCAAAGCACTGTGCTGTACACAATGGAAAGAGAGACCTTTGTGACTGACCTAACTTGTTGTACTAACCTTCTCTGCCTGTCCAAAGGGCAGCCATACTGAAGTGGGCATTACTTAGCTCTTCTTTTTCTCTGCAGTCCCAGCCATCACAAACAGGATAATATTTTGTGCGAAAAGTGAAAAGCAGGCCTATTTTGTCAGGAAAAAAGGATTGTTTATCTCTTTAGCCAATAAGTTCTATACACTTGTCATATACCCATCCTTGAAACTAAGCACCATTTTACCCACAAAGCTCCCCAGAAGTTTTGTGGTGCAACTGGACATCAAGCAGAACTGTCCTGAATTAATGTTTTGTTGCAGATCTGATTTTGGAAGTGCAAGGTGTCCAACCAATGTACAGACAGGCTGTTCTTGTGGTATTTTTAGCCTTGCAAGAAGAACCAAAAATATGGCGTAGTCTGTGTCTCTAGAAGCAAAGCTGTCCATTACACCTCTTATGAGTGCTTCTCCGAGACCAAGGGGCTTGTGACACTCAAGTAACTGGCGGTTATTATTCTGATGCCTTTGATGCACATCTGTCAAAGGAATCTAAAAAATGTAGCCATGCAGGACTGCTACTGAGAGGGCAAGATGGGGAAAATTAGTGTCCATCTTGTATGAAGGAGACATTTTAGATGATTACCTCCCTCTTGCTATGATGCCTTATGTATTACTAATAGCTTGGATGCATTTTCTCCCTCAGCCAAGGCAGCTAAGTCTTCTCTGTCCATAGAACTGCACTATCTCAGCAGTTTCAGCAGAAGCTCTCTGGTGAGTTACTCGATTGTGCAGCATTGGAATATTGTTTTGCAGCATTTTTTCCAGGGAGACAGAATGCTCCTGGTA